CTTTTTACCTTTGTGAAACTTAATCCATGTTTTGCAAATAAAGCATCCAAGGCAGATTTAAGACTTACAGCAGATGTATCCATGACATGAACAATGCCAACAAATATTTCTTGAACAACTCTGACTTTGTCAACAAACCTCAAAACCACGACCATTTGTTCTTTTCTAGAGACATCACTAGACTCATCCACCAACAAAGCAAATACATCATCACCAATTTCCCCAATAACATCTTTCAACACCTCTTCCCCAAAGCAAGTAACAAGATCTTTTTGAATCTTTGGATGTAACATCCCAAAATTTAAAACAAAGCGGAAACTGGAAATTAAAATAAACTGACCAACACGGGAAAAAGGGTATAGCGATAACAAACAAAAGAAAGGCATTAAATAACAACCTATTTATCTACATCATCCTATGGCTAGATTAAAGACAGATGTTTCTATCGGCTCCAACAAAAGTCGTAACATCAAGTATARCGACGCTCCAAAATGCCAAATGCTTTAGCTACACAAAAGCCTTTTTCGAGAMCACGCTCCCYTCAACCCTCRTTAGACCCGCCGCTAAAAGAACCTGACAAACAAGTCATTTCGAGAAGAGTGTTAGGCTTACGCCTAGTGAGTCCAAACGGTGAGATAAATAAACCATAAAACCCTTATATATATATATATATATATATAAGCATACCCAGATACATAACGTAACCTTAAATAATTATGCAAGGAACAAGCAATTCCAAATATCACACGGTGGAGCCAAAACGTCCGAAGACGACGGGGGAGACCCGATTACCGTGGATTATGACGGAACACAAAGTATGTCATATATCCACGTTGTAGAGCATCATTTACAGGCTTAATACCATTGACGTCAACCTAAACCAGTCATGTAGTCAGTCGTGATCATAAGCTCTTTATTTCGGTAATTACATAATAATCACAATGCCTATTACCGAGTGTAAGTGAGAAGATGATTTGGTAATTACATAATAATCATAATGCCTATTACCAACTTACACCATCATTCCCACGAATAAAATAAAACGACATTCATGTCTATAATTCCATTACATTCTAGTGACATATCCAAAACATAACRTCTTTAGCATATACACAATTATACTTACTAAGATTTTGCATCAACCCTTAGTGCAATGAAGTACTCACACCCGACCATACGACTTCGACTATAGAGCGTAAAGGTGTTAAGTGCCTTAAGACCAACAGCATTTGAAATGGGCATCTCAACAAGTGATATACATATATCTTTCCAAAATAGGCGGGATCTCTAATTTCGCTCTTTACCTAAAGAGATTTCCATTTCCAAACCAACAAGTATTCTCACCTAACTTAKGTTCGAGGTAAAGTGCAATGCATTCCTATCGATGATTATAAAGTTTTATAATTTAGAATATAATGAACTCACTTTTGACTCRATAATCACATTTCATATAAACAAGTAGGTTTCATAGGAACTAGAGTGTAWGACAACAAAATACATCATTATACTTGTTATAAAGTCTTAAAAGTATGGAGTGAACTCACCTCGTAGGATTTAAGAGAAATCCTAAGATCTTGAAGCTAAATGGAAGATGGAGAAGGGTACTAAAACAGTAAGGTATGGCACAATACAGCAGCTACTGTTGCTGCTGTTTGGCTCGGCGCAGACAGCACRGACARCCTGTTGGTTGGTCAAGTTGTACGCAATGGTCTCGATCCTCACTGCTGCTTGTTGCGGCTGGTGGTTGCTGCTTGCTTTAGGCGAAAAAGTGAAGAAAACAATGGGTTTTGGCCACTGTTTGCTGCTGCTGTTTTGGGCGCAAGAGGCGAAGAAAACTGTGGCTTTTGGCCACTGTTTGCTACTGCTGTGGTTGCTGTCGGAGACGAACGAAGAACGCAGCAGCTTGCTGCTTGCTGCTGGTTGCTGGTTACTGCTTGACAGTCGGCACGAAGGAGGAACGGCAGCAGGCGCTGCTGGTGCTGCTTGACAGTCGGCACGAAGAAGGAACGGCAGCGGTGCTGCTGTAAGCTGATCCTTTCCCCCTTGTCTTCGTTTTTGCAGGAAAAGCCCCCTCCCTTTCCAACTTTCTACTACCCCCCCC